CCCCTGGATAAAAAATGATTTTGCCCTTTCCCTCTCCCCTTGCCTCACCCTCTGTGATCTGGATCCTGCCCGTATGTGGTTAGTTCTCCCTTGTTTTTTCCGTGGCTTTGGGGTGCATGGTTGTTTTCCTCGCAAATTTGACCTATCAACCCCCCCCCTTTCCCCCTCTGCATCCGCTGTTTTTTCCCCTTTTACTCCTTTGGGCCCCCCTTGGCAGGCTGATATGCCTTAGATAATTCATAAAAATTCCCTTTTTTCCTTTTTCGGCCTGCAGCTTCATTTGCTGTGTCTTCTTGGTCATGCCCCCGTAACTCGCTTCAGCCCATTTATCTCAACTTCTAGGACCCCTTTTCTTGGTACTGCAGTTTCGACTTGTGCCTCCAATTCTTTGTTCCTTCTCCAACCTCTTTTCCCAAATTTTACAGAGAAACTCTTTCTCCCTTTTTTTCAGAAAGCTTCCTAAAATTTTTTCTCCCACTCTTGTTCCATCCTTTTTTCCCCTTCTCCCCCATCCACTCCTCCCTACCCGAACCATTTCATCTGATCCCTTTGGGTTTGCGAGTTTCCCCCCATTTTTTTTTTGTGAGAGAAGAGGGAAAGGGGAAAAGGGAGAAGGAGGGGAGAGAGGGGAAAAGTGAGGGAAATTTAAAGGGGGGAGGGGAGGGGTGGAGAGGGGGGGAAAGGGGGAGAGGAGAGAAAGGGAAGGGAAGGAGGGGGGGGAGAGTGAGAAGGGAAAAAAAAGGGGGGAAAAGATGGAGAAGGGGAGAGAGAGAAGAGGAGAGAAAGAGGGGAGAGAGGGGTGAGAGAGAGGGGAGGAGGAGAGGGGAGAGGGAGAGGGGAGAGGGAAAAGAAGGGGGAGAGAGAGGGGGGAGAGAGAGAGAGAGGGAGGGGGAGGTAGAGAGGGAGGGAGAGGGGAGAGGGGAGAGAGGGAGGGGGAGAGGGGAGAGGGGAGAGGCAAAGAGAGGGGGAAGGGAGGGGGGAGAGCGAGGGGGGAGAAGGGGGAAGAAGGGGGAAGAGGGGGGAGATGGAAAAAGCGGGGAGGAGAGGGGAGAGGCTAGGGGGGAGGGGAGAGGGGGGGGAGGGGGGGAGAGATGGGAAAAGGGGAGGGGAGAGTTTAAAGGGAGGGGAGAGGGTGTTTGAGGGGGGGAGATGTTAGAGGGGGGGGAGGTGGTTTTAAAAGGGGAAAAAAAAGGAAGTTTAGGGGGGGGGAGATGGGAGAGGGGGGAGAGAGAGAAAAGATAGGAAAAGAGTGATAGGTTTTGAGAGAGAGTTTAGGGAAAAAGTGGGGTAGGTTTGAGAGTGATGGTCTCTACAATTGGATAGGAAGAGAGGGGGGAGAGAGAGAAAGGAGCGAGGTTCAGAAAGGTTTAGTTCACAGGATGGTGTGAAATCTGTGTATGTACTCACCCAGTTTTACTCACCTAGTTGAGGGTTTCAGGGGGGCGGTCCCAGGTCCTGGCCCCCCCTTTTTCACTGATCGCTACTAGGTCACTCTCCCTGAGCCGTTTAGCTTTTTCATACCCCTGCTTTAAAATAGGTTTGGATCCTGGCCCCCAATAATCGCTTCCCAAACTATTCCCCTTAATGACTACTCTGTGGGCCCGAAGAAATACTTCCCAAAATCCCTGTGATTCATCTGTGTCTTCAGCTTTCCAAAAAAGGGGTCCCCTTGTTTCTGGTCCAATCTCTGGAACTCCCGGCTTTGGGCCCCCTTGTCAAAACCTTCGTATTTTTGTATGTCGTTATTATGTCCCCCCTATCCTTCCTGTCCCCCAGTGTCGTCAGGGGGGGATTTTTCCCCCTTTAAACCCCTCCCTTTGGGCATACCTCTTAGCCTTTGGGGCTAGTTTTGTTGCAAAACCTTTGCACTTTCTCTTTGTTTCTTCCGTGCTTGGTAGGTGGTGGGTTCCCAAAAAGGGGCCGCCCTACTCCAATTTGGGGGAACGTACACGGGTTTTTCAGGGTCCCGAATGTTTCTTTTTAAGATTCGGAAAGTGTTTTGAGGTTTGCTAGGCGCCCTTTTTGCGCAAACCGTTTGTTTGGGTTTAAGTGCGCTTCAGAAGAAAGTGGCCCGGTGTTTATACTTACCCCAAAATTTTTTTTCCCTTTAGGGGAGGTTTGAGTCTCGGGGCCCCTAGACGTACCGTTGCGGGGCCCTTTTTGCCTTCCCCCAATTTTATGGGCTTTGACTTGGTGGGGTTGAAAATCAGGAGCCAATTGCTGGACCAGGTTGCAGCGTCCAGATCCTTTGTAGTTCTGCCCGGTTTTTCGGGTCGAGTGAATTCTTCTCTCAATTCACGTAATTTTGCAAAAAAAGGGGGGAAACCCCAGGGGTCTATTCCTTTCCCTCCCTGTCGTTCCAAATACCAGAAACAGCATTTGGGCCTAGGACTGCCCCTGGGGACTCCCCTGGTCACAGGTGCCCCCTCTGGCACCTCGCCACGTACCTTTACTCGCCTGCTGTCTTCTGAAAGTATTCCCTTTATTTCCCTTGTAGTGCCTTTCCCCGTTATCCCTGCTTTGGTTTCCCCCAGGTTTTTTCAACCCCTTTTTTGTGTTTGGGAACCCGTGTTTAAAAGGGCCCTTTTTGCAGTCCCAAAAAAATGCAAAACCACCCCCCCTCTCTCTTTGTCTTCTGTGTCACCAAAGTCATAGAAACCCCAGTAGGTTTGTGACACAGGATTTCCCCTTTCCCCGAAAAACCCTTTTGGGGGGGGGGTTGGGCCCGCTGTTTATGAAAATCGTTCCTTTTTAGGTGTTCCAACCCTTTCTCCTGATTTAATCTTTTCCATGATTTTGCCAAAATTTTTTTTTTTTTAAAATGTCAGTGACATGGGCTGTAGTTTAATTTCTTCATGTTGTCTCCTTTTTTAAAGATTTGGGGCTTCATTTGTGTCTTTTTTGCCTCAGGGGAATTCCCGTTTGATAGATGATTGAATATTTTTTGTTAGGGGGGGACACAGAGGTCTGCTCCCTCTTTTCAAAACCCCTGGGGAGATTTTTTTCTGGGCCCTTTTCCCTTTTGGGGATCTTTCTCCCCTCAGAAGCCTCTTACTTCTTCCCCGGTTGTTTTGCACTGTGTCCGTATTGGTGGTGTGGCCCCCCCCTCTCCGTCTTTTTTGAGTCCCCTTTGGCTCCTCTGTGAACACTTCTTTTAAACTCTTGTTGGGGTTTCTTCACATACTTCACGGTCATTTCTTGTTGTCTCTCCTCCTTCCTTCCTTAGCCTGATTACCTGGTCCTTGACTGTTGTTTTCCTCCTGATGTGTGTTTGCGTGTGTACTACAGCTTACAAGTGCTTGTTCCTGTGTGTGTGTGTGTGTGTGTGTGTGTGTGTGTGTGTGTGTGTGTGTGTGTGTTGTGTGTGTGTGTGTGTGTGTGTGTGTGTGTGTGTGTGTGTGTGTACTCACCTATTTGTACTCACCTATTTGTGGTTGCAGGGGTCGAGTCACAGCTCCTGGCCCCGCCTCTTCGCTGATTGCTACTAGGTCCTCTCTCTCCCTGCCCCATGAGCTCTATCATACCTCGCCTTAAAACTATGTATGGTTCCTGCCTCCACCACATCACTTTCTAGGCTATTCCATGGCCTGACTACTCTATGACTGAAGAAATACTTCCTAACATCCCTTTGATTCATCTGAGTCTTCAACTTCCAATTGTGACCTCTTGTGTCTGTGTCCCATCTCTGGAACATCCCGTCTTTGACCACCTCGTCTCTTCCGCGCAGTATTTTATATGTCCTTATCATGTCTCCCCTGACCCTCCTGGCCTCCAGTGTCGTCAGGCCGATTTCCCTCAACCTTTCTTCATAGGACAATCCCCGTAGCTCTGGGACTAGTCTTGTTGCAAACCTTTGCACTTTCTCTAATTTCTTGACGTGCTTGACTAGGTGTGGATTCCAAACTGGTGCTGCATACTCCAGTATGGGCCTGACGTTGATGGTGTACAGAGTCTTAAACGAATCCTTACTGAGGTATCGGAACGCTATCCGTAGGTTTGCCAGGCGCCCGTATGCTGCAGCAGTTATCTGATTGATGTGCGCCTCAGGAGATATGATCGGTGTTATACTCACCCCCAGATCTTTTTCCTTGAGTGAGGTTTGCAGTCTTTGGCCATCTAAACTATATTGTGTCTGCGGTCTTCTTTGCCCTTCCCCAATCTGTGTATGTGTGTGTGTGTGTGTATGTGTGTGTGTGTGTGTATGTGTGTGTGTGTGTGTGTGTGTGTGTGTGTGTGTGTGTGTGTGTGTGTGTGTGTCTGTGTGTCTGTGTGTCTGTGTGTGTCTGTGTGTGTGCGTGTGTGAGTGATGCTTGCATCCCATATCTTCCACCATCCACATGTAATTCTTGAGGTCCCGCAAATTTCCTGTCCCAATTCTTCAGCAGGGGACATTCATACAGGTTCCGAATTACAAATTCAGGCCGATAAACCCTAATTGACCTTCGAGAATGTCCGTTCACATTGCACTACTCGGTCCAGTGCTCACACATTAAATTCAAGATGGCATCTCCCCGGCACCACTTAGCAGCTCTTCTGCCCCCCCCCCCCACTCGAAATTTCTCGAAGGGTCCAAATAGCATTGCATTTTCGTACACAATTATCATATTATTCATTTATATGCTCTACATTTAGGAAATTATGTAAAAAAATTCCACGACTGGATTATCTTGGGTAGCTAACCCTCTGGGTTAAAAATCGAAACAAATCTTATCTTAAGTATCTGTGATACAAAATTCAATATTTATCAATATAAAAGAAATAAATAATCTATGGCTCGACATTGTAATAACAAAATTGCAAACAAACTAGCAAACACATATTTCGTTGGTAAAAAAAAAAATTCACTTGTGGCTACAGTGGTGGCTCATGCTAACCTCCCTATAGTGTACAGAAATAGTATATGAAGTTGGATTAATCTTATTAGGTAGGCATAGTCGAGTGGATAATGCACCAGCCTACTAGTTGTAATGGTGTGTAGTCTGTGTTGTTAAGATACGTACCCGGAGGCCAGACGACTTTAGCTGGTAGCATCAGTTGAACATCATGGTCCCTTAGTGGTCGGGCTACTTCCACTGTCACTACCATGACTGGTGAAGTTCCACTCTCTCCTGAAGCTGTCATGCTCACATTGAACTTCCCAGCCTGTAAAAATTTATACTTCTAGCTATAACATAATTTATAGATTCCTGAATGAAGATTACACGTTACTAAATCTTGTCTTAACCAGCCTCAAAATTATTCAGAATTCTAAATTGAAATATATGCTTTCAATTTCCAAACCTTTATACACATTCCAGAAGCCTTGAAGCCCCCAGGAGTGATACATCGCCTGATCCTTAATTTAACACTGTAAAAATTTAGTTTATTCATTGTATATGTTCATGAATTATTTACCTTGAAGATCATTGTGAAAAAAATAAATTTACGCATTAAAACCTGAATTAAGATCTTACGGCACCTTAGGGAAAGAGAAGAAGATGGAGGGAGTGGCGCTAGTCTTGCTGTGGCCCTGCACGAATAACTCAAAGTTGGCAGCAGTGCCACTCTCAACCACAGCTGTGAAGTTAAGCAGTGTCTGCGTCTTGAAGACACTGCTGGGCCAGGCTGGGGCATTGTCTTCGTTAACATACTGAGCGATGATCTTCTTCAGTGTGAGGCCGGCCATCACCCGCACCTGCAAGATTAATATCTTTATTATGCACCCCTTACCCATCCTGTCTGCAGTAGTCTTAACATTACAGAGGCACGTAATGTGTCCAGGGACTGGCCCGCAAACTTCTGATAGCTGAACAAGTTACAGTGGTAATGAACTATTTTACACACTTATTTCTGGTTACAATCGCAATGAGTTATTTATGCAGACATGAATTAGGTCACACACGCACAGGTTTTCCTGCAAGACCAATCCACGTGTAATGAGGAAGATTATGTAAAGATTATGTAAAACCTTCCTTCCCCAAGTGGAAGTAAGCCACACTTACTCTATTTTAAGGTGGGGAGTTACCCTACCTTACATTCATCTCCAGTGTATGCATATAACAGTTATCTGTAAATCGATACTGTATTAATATTACCGGTTTGTAGAATATATACCGTGTTCAACTGCCTTCCAGCATAAATAAGGAGGATTGCCAATAAACCCTTGGCTGTCTTCAAGAAGGCGCTGGACAGGCATCTAAAGTCATTTCCTGACCAGCCGGGCTGCGGTTCTTACATCGGTTTGCGTGCGGCCAGCAGTAACAGCCTTCTTGAAGACAGCCAGGGGTCTATTGATAATCCCCCTTATGTATGCTGGGAGGCAGTTGAACAATCTTGGGCCCCTGACACTCATTGTGTTGTCTCTCAGTGTACTCGTGGTGCCCCTGATTTTCATTAGGGGAATGTTGCATCTCCTGCTGAGTGTTTTGCTTTCATAGGGAGTGATTTTCGTGTGCAAGTTTGGTACCAATCCCTCTAGGATTTTCCAAGTGTATATTATCATTCATCTCTCTTGCCTGCTTTCCAGGGAATACAAATCAAGGAACTTCAACTGTTCCCAGTACTTTAGGTGCCTTATCGTACTTATGTGCGCCTTGAAAGTGTTTTGTACATTCTCCAGGTCAGCAGGTTCACCTGCCTTGAAGACCTGGTTGATGTCCGCTTCGAGTCTTGTGGTGTCTTTGATGGAAGTCACTGTCATGGCAATTCGGGTGTCATCCGCGGAGGAAGACACGGAGCTATGGCGTACATCTCTGTCTATGTCAGATATGAGAATGAGGAATATGATAGGAGCGAGTACTGTGCCTTGTGGAACAGAGTTTCTCACTGTAGCTGCCTAAGACTTTAATCTGTTTACTATTACTCTTCGTGTTCTGTTTGTCAGGAAGTTGTAGACTCATCTACCAACTTTTTCTGTTATTCCTTTATCACGCAATTTGTGCGCTGTTACACACTGGTCACACTAGGCACTGGAAGTTTTTTAAATATGTGATGAAAATTTTCGAAAATAGGACACTACGAGCCTAGCTCTCTTATTGTAACTGCAAATAAATAATTACAAATAAGTAACTAGAAATGAGTAATTGTAATTAATAGTATTATAACTTAAAAGATTAATAATTATTTTATAAATTAATAACCTAAGTATCTATTCAATGTCTAAATATTATTCATTAAATTTGATAGAGTAAATAGTGTGAGTTGCCCTTTAAAAGGTAGGTGTGTTGATGCTGGCGAAGAGCTCTTGATTCATGGAAATGGAGGTACCTCCCTTTCCTAGGATTAGAGCCTAGGGAATGAAAGGTAATCGGGTTTCATTCTTTGAATAAGAAATCCTTCACGTGACTCAATACGTCCGTTTTGAAGGGTCAGAATGTAAGAAGAGTGCCTCGTATTTCGCTCAACAACCGAGGCCATCTTCAGTAGAATTTACATGCACTTACCGCGCTGGAGAGTTGAATGGTTGAAATAGGATTTGCGAGTGTAAGAAACACATTAAAATCTCCACTGGCTTGGTAGCTGTGATTGTAGGTCTTGTACACCTCCCCTGCTGTGCCAGGCTGAGTGATCTCTGTGAGGTTGACTGTTGTTCCAGCCCCACCATCACCCCACGTGATGGTGCCCACTACTGATGTTGCTACTTCACCCTGGGAGTCAAGGCTGATGTTGGCACTCACACTACCTGTACATATATGATTCGTTGTTTAACTGGACCTTAAGTGTACCGAATACACGAGGATCATTATAGCTGTATGTAACCTGTTTACCATCGGTTAAGACTACTTTAATCCAAGAACCAAGTAAAGATCCAGAATATATATATATATATATATATATATATATATATATATATATATATATATATATATATATATATATATATATATATATATATATATATATATATATATAATATATATATATATATATATATATGTCGTGCCGAATATGTAGAACTGGTCACTTAGCAAGAACTCATTTAAAATTAAGTCCGTTCTAAAATTTTCTCTTATACGTTTAAAGATATATTTTTTTCATTAATGTTAATGTAAAAATTTTTAATTTTGCACCAAAAGAATCTTAGAAAACTTACCTAACCTTATTATAACAAGAACAATTTATTTTAGCCTAACCCAACTAAATATATTTTAGATTTGTTTACAGTAATTTAATACTAAACAAACACAGTGAAAAATATTTTTTTCGTTAGGTTCAGAATGATTTTGGCGAAATTATTGCATACACAAATTTTCACTTGTCCTATATGGCAAGATGAGCGTTGCTATTTAATCCAAGATCGCAAATTCGGCCTATTCGGCACGACATATATATATATATATATATATATATATATATATATATATATATCTATATATATATATATATATATATATATATATATATATATATATATATATATATATATATATATATATATATATATATATATATATATATAATATTATTATACAGCTCTCAGTGTGTATAAATAAATGTGAGATGTATGCAGTGAATGGGAAGAAAACAATCACAATTAAGTGTGAAAAAGTTGATCATGAACATCACATCAGTTTATACAATTATACATATACATACGCAATTTTTTATTTTATTTTTTAATTGAAGCAAATGCGTCCTCCTTTTCACTGTTGATCTGCTCTTCCTACAACCATCAACCTGTCTAACATAATATTATCAATAATTATAAAGATCACAAGGAGCTGGTGGGAAGAAAGTCAAGTATTATTTTGTGCAGCTATAAAAATGATTTTTCTTTAGTTGTTAAATATTACCAAAGAGCCATCAACATGCAAAATGCAGGGCTGCTGGCTTAAGTCATGGGCATGAGGGGCTGCAGACCAGGGGACTCCGCAAGCTGGATGGCCTCCAGGGGTTGCAGACCAGGGGACTCCGCAAGCTGGATGACCTCCAGGGGTTGCAGCCCAGGGGACTCCGCAAGCTGGATGACCTCCAGGGGTTGCAGACCAGGGGACTCCGCAAGCTGGATGACCTCCAGGGGTTGCAGCCCAGGGGACTCCGCAAGCTGGATGACCTCCAGAGATTAAAAAGTGTTCACAGTTACTGCTGTATGTTTATATTTATAGTATGTTGACTGTTAGCTGTTGTGATTAATTTTTTTTTCTTTTGAAAATATAATTTGAGGCCTCACAGAACTTATAGCCCAGGAGGCCAATAAAATTTAATCCGGCTCTTGCAGGATGCTGCCTTCAAAACTTCGACAATACTCAGCAGACGGAGTGGTAGATCAGTGGAATAATTTGAACAGAGGATGTAGTAGGCTCTACAAATTAATGGAAATTTTAAAATATATATGTAAACGATGAACAAATTAGTGAAGAGGAGAGAGGACGAGCATGGGATCTGTTACTGTAGTTACAAAGAGGTAATTACAAGAGAAGAGTGACATTAACCTGGAGGTGTGACGGTGTGTGGAGGTAAAGTGAAGGTGACCTGCTCGAGTCTGAGAGGGACATACACCCACACACTCTTAGTGAGGGTCGCTTCCTGTTGGTGTGACCAGGTCAAGGTCAAGGTCACCAGGTGTTCACCGGTTGTGTTCAATTTGTACACCGTCATGCCGAACACAGGGGCGCCTGATATAATTAATAAAGCTATTAGTATTTTTTACGTTTTTTATTGCAAAATGTTTGAATTTATCACATTTAAAAAAATACTTGCATGGTTCTCTTCTCCTGAACGTGACCAACAAGAACAAATTAAAGAATGAAACACTTATGCAACATCATGGGATCTTGATACAACGAATTCTTCAACACTTGTCCAACCTTTGGACGAAGACTTACACTAGTGGATGGTCCCACTGTAATCCCGCCTCCTCCTGCTTCCACTCACCTGACTACAGTATATATAGTCACTTCTCCGACCATATGCTGTACTTTCTTAAAGACTGATGGACTGAACTCATCGATTCCAGCCTGAGAGACTGATTACGTCAAACTCTTCCTCGCCGTACACCGTTCTGCTTTGTACTGGACTGATGAAGCCACTGTGTGGCGAAAGTTTCCTCAGTAAAGATTCCCCTATGTTACATAAGTGTCTTATTCTTCAACTTGTCGGTTTTCTAAAGTACTTTCTAATGTACTTATCACAGATATCCATTAATAGGACCTAACTTTTTTTAGTCAACGTGTCCTCCCTATATTTAAAATATTTCTCATTATTCCTTTTTATTCTCTTAATGAGGGTCTTGGTATGAGAACAAAATATGCAGTAATCTCTCCTTAACTTCTGTTTAGTTTCTCAGTTCACACTTATGGCAAGACCGCTACTAAATGATTGATGGTGAATGCGTTTCCTTTTCTCGTTAAGTTACCCAACTTGGAGCTCTGCTCGAACTCACCAGTGAAGAAGAGTTGGTCGGCCTGGAGACGGTCCACGTTGATGACGAGAGAGAAGGCTGGCACTGTCTTGAAGACGGAGTAACTGATCACCACATTCTTGCCCAGCTCTACCTGTCTCCCGGAACAAATATTACACAAGAGGGTCAACATTATCACTAATTAATGTGTGGCACTACACCTGTGCGGGTCAGCAGGTAGGTACTAGTGTTGTTATTACTGCTCTCACGAGGAGGCGCTAAACTTACAGGGATCATAGAGAACCTAGCACATGGGAGGTATACCTGGAGTATACCTGCAGAGAATTTCGGGGGTCAGCGCCCCCTCGGCTCGGTTTGAAACCAGGCCTCGTGGTAGATCAGGGTCTGATCCGGTGATCAGGTTTGTTCTGATATAAACCTATATAAGATACAAGACAGGCAAGTTTAGGTGAACAGGAGAGTGATCTTTGTTCACGTGAACTCAGTGATACTCACATGTTTGTTCAGGTACAAACTTAAAAGTACTCACGTGTTTGGGGTCAATGTCCCACTGTAGGTGGTGAGGCAGACCCCCGTATACCATAGAACCTGGGGAAGGTGTAACACCATTAAAATAATAATAATAATAATAATTCTAAGAGTAATAATAATAATAATTTTAATAATAATAATAATAATTTTAATAATAATAATAATAATAATAATAATAATAATAATAATAATAATAATTATAATAATAATAAAAATAATAATTTTAATAATTAATAATAATAATAATAATATAATAATAATAATAATAATAATAATAATAATAATAATAATAATAATAATAATAATAATAATAATAATATTGGTAATAAACTACGTTATCCAACCTCAATTCTGGTAATTTACATACATAATAAACACAACATTCACAAATATGACAAGAAATAGACAAAACTGTCTACCTGGAGTCTACCTGGAGTCTACCTGGAGTCTACCTGGAGTCTACCTGGAGTCTACCTGGAGTCTACCTGGAGGGTATTCCGGGGATCAACACCCCTGCGACCGGTCCACGACCAGGCCTCCCGGTGGATCAGGGCCTGATCAACCAAGCTGTTACTACTGGCCGCACGTAGTCCAATGTACGAACCAGAGCCCGGCTTTATTTTTTATTTTTTCTTGGAGTTAATAATAATAGTTAAAAAAGCTGAACCAATATAAAGAGTTCAGCTTTAACATAATTTAAGTACTCGTTGAACACCTGTGTTTACTGAGTGTTCAAAGAAACTTCTGTAATATTTTCGTTCATAAACATTTTTATTTTGAGATAAAAATGTCTCGGCGATGTGTAGGAACATTACGGAACATTAATGGTGGGAAGGTGACCTGCCTTGTGGAGATTCTCAAAAAAATTATCTTCATCTGTGTTGGCAGAATCAAGTCACAACTGACCAACAGTTCTGTGGTTGCAACAGTTCACAAGTAATCCATAGTTACGTGGCTGCAACAGTTCATAACTAACCCACAAGAGTGCAGCTGCAACAGTTGATAACTAACCCACAAGAGTGCAGCTGCAACAGTTGATAACTAACCCACAAGAGTGCAGCTGCAACAGTTGATAACTAACCCACAAGAGTGCAGCTGCAACAGTTGATAACTAACCCACAAGAGTGCAGCTGCAACAGTTGATAACTAACCCCAAGAGTGCAGCTGCAACAGTTGATAACTAACCACAAGAGTGCAGCTGCAACAGTTGATAACTAACCCCCAAGAGTGCAGCTGCAACAGTTGATAACTAACCCACAAGAGTGCAGCTGCAACAGTTGATAACTAACCCACAAGAGTGCAGCTGCAACAGTTGATAACTAACCCACAAGAGTGCAGCTGCAACAGTTGATAACTAACCCACAAGAGTGCAGCTGCAACAATTGATAACTAACCCACAAGAGTGCAGCTGCAACAATTGATAACTAACCCACAAGAGTGCAGCTGCAACAAATGATAACTAACCCACAAGAGTGCAGCTGCAACAAGTTGGATAAACTAACCCACAAGAGTGCAGCTGCAACAGTTGATAACTAACCCACAAGAGTGCAGCTGCAACAGTTGATAACTAACCCACAAGAGTGCAGCTGCAGCAGTTGATAACTAACCACAAGGAGTGCAGCTGCAACAGTTGATAACCTAACCCACAAGAGTGCAGCTGCAACAGTTGATAACTAACCAACAAGAGTGCAGCTGCAACAATTGATAACTAACCCACAAGAGTGCAGCTGCAACAGTTGATAACTAACCCACAAGAGTGCAGCTGCAACAGTTGATAACTAACCAACAAGAGTGCAGCTGCAACAATTGATAACTAACCCACAGAGTGCAGCTGCAACAATTGATAACTAACCCACAAGAGTGCAGCTGCAACAGTTGATAACTAACCCACAAGAGTGCAGCTGCAACAGTTGATAACTAACCCACAAGAGTGCAGCTGCAACAATTGATAACTAACCCACAAGAGTGCAGCTGCAACAGTTGATAACTAACCCACAAGAGTGCAGCTGCAACAGTTGATAACTAACCCACAAGAGTGCAGCTGCAACAGTTGATAACTAACCCACAAGAGTGCAGCTGCAACAGTTGATAACTAACCCACAAGAGTGCAGCTGCAACAGTTGATAACTAACCACAAGAGTGCAGCTGCAACAGTTGATAACTAACCCACAAGAGTGCAGCTGCAACAGTTGATAACTAACCCACAAGAGTGCAGCTGCAACAGTTGATAACTAACCCACAAGAGTGCAGCTGCAACAGTTCATAACTAACCCACAAGAGTGCAGCTGCAACAGTTGATAACTAACCCACAAGAGTGCAGCTGCAACAGTTCATAACTAACCCACAAGAGTGCAGCTGCAACAGTTCATAACTAACCCACAAGAGTAAAGCTGCAACAGTTGATAACTAACCCACAAGAGTGCAGCTGCAACAGTTAATAACTAACACACAAGAGTGCAGCTGCAACAGTTGATAACTAATCCACAAGAGTGCAGCTGCAACAGTTCATAACTAACCCACAAGAGTGCAGCTGCAACAGTTCATAACTAACCACAAGAGTGCAGCTGCAACAGTTCATAACTAATCCACAAGAGTGCAGCTGCAACAGTTCATAACTAACCCACTAGAGTGCAGCTGCAACAGTTCATAACTAACCCACTAGATTGCAGCTGCAACAGTTGATAACTAACCCACAAGAGTGCAGCTGCAACAGTTGATAACTAACCCACTAGAGTGCAGCTGCAACAGTATAACTAACCCACAGAGTGCAGCTGCAACAGTTCATAACTAATCCACAAGAGTGCAGCTGCAACAGTTCATAACTAACCCACAAGAGTGCAGCTGCAACAGTTTATAACTAACCCACTAGAGTGCAGCTGCAACAGTTCATAACTAATCCACAAGAGTGCAGCTGCAACAGTTGATAACTAACCCACAAGAGTGCAGCTGCAACAGTTGATAACTAACCCACAAGAGTGCAGCTGCAACAGTTCATAACTAACCCACAAGAGTGCAGCTGCAACAGTTGATAAAATAACCCACAAGAGTGCAGCTGCAACAGTTCATAACTAACCCACAAGAGTGCAGCTGCAACAGTTCATAACTAACCCACAAGAGTGCAGCTGCAACAGTTCATAACTAACCCACAAGAGTGCAGCTGCAACAGTTCATAACTAACCCACAAGAGTGCAGCTGCAACAGTTCATAACTAAACCCACAAGAGTGGCGAAGCTGCAGCTGCAAAAGTTCATAACTAACCCACAAGAGTGCAGCTGCAACAGTTCATAACTAACCCACTAGAGTGCAGCTGCAACAGTTCATAACTAACACACAAGAGTGCAGCTGCAACAGTTCATAACTAACCCACTAGAGTGCAGCTGCAACAGTTCATAACTAACCACAAGAGTGCAGCTGCAACAGTTCATAAACTAAAACCCAAGAGTGCAGCTGCAACAGTTCATAACTAACCACAAGAGTGCAGCTGCAACAGTTCATAACTAATCCACAAGAGTGCAGCTGCAACAGTTCATAACTAACACACAAGAGTGCAGCTGCAACAGTTCATAACTAACCCACAAGAGTGCAGCTGCAACAGTTCATAACTAACACACAAGAGTGCAGCTGCAACAGTTGATAACTAACCACAAGAGTGCAGCTGCAACAGTTCATAACTAACCCACTAGAGTGCAGCTGCAACAGTTATAACTAACCACAAGAGTGCAGCTGCAACAGTTCATAACTAACCCAAATAGAGTGCAGCTGCAACAGTTCATAACTAACCACAAGAGTGCAGCTGCAACAGTTCATAACTAACCACAGAGTGCAGCTGCAACAGTTCAACTAACCCACAGAGTGCAGCTGCAACAGTTCATAACTAACACACACAGAGTGCAGCTGCAACAGTTCATAACTAACCCACTAAAGTGCAGCTGCAACAGTTCATAACTAACACACAAGAGTGCAGCTGCAACAGTTCATAACTAACCCACTAGAGTGCAGCTGCAACAGTTCATAACTAACCCACAGAGTGCAGCTGCAACAGTTCATAACTAACCCACTAGAGTGCAGCTGCAACAGTTCATTACTAACCCACTAGAGTGCAGCTGCAACAGTTCATAACTAACCCACAAGAGTGCAGCTGCAACAGTTTCATAACTAACCACATAGAGTGCAGCTGCAACAGTTCATAACTAATCACAAGAGTGCAGCTGCAACAGTTCATAAATAACCACTAGAGTGCAGCTGCAACAGTTCATAACTAACCCACAAGAGTGCAGCTGCAACAGTTCATAACTAACCCACAAGAGTGCAGCTGCAACAGTTCATAACTAACCCATAAGAGTGCAGCTGCAACAGTTCATAACTAACCCACTAGAGTGCAGCTGCAACAGATAACTAACCCACAAGAGTGCAGCTGCAACAGTTCATAACTAACCCACTAGAGTGCAGCTGCAACTGATAACTAACCCACAAGAGTGCAGCTGCAATAGTTCATAACTAACCCACAACAGTGCAGCTGCAACAATTCATAACTAACCCACAACATCACGACCAGAAACAATTCACAACTCACCCATAAATTGGTAACGAATCTTTTAGCGATATTTGGTCCACTCTGGAGTATTGTCACGCTTGATAATATCCAAAGGGGGGACTGAAACACCGTTCATTCTTTATTGTCAAATTGTAGGTTAGTTATGAGCTCGAGATGATTAATAGTAATACTGCAGATGAAGGATGGAACACAGCTCAGTAGGTGTAATAGCACACAAAATGCGTTACAAAAGAAATAACAGGAAAGTAACAAAAAAACGAACAATACCGTGACTGAAACAATACACAAATAACCCGCACATTGAAGAGAGGAGCTTGCGACGACGTTTCGGACATTTCGGGAAAGTTGGTAGGTGGATCTATAACTTCCTAACAAATAGAACGCAAAATGTAATAGTAAACAGAGTAGTCTGAGGCGGCTACAGTGAAAAGTTCTCTTCCACAAGGCACAGTACTCGCTCCCATCCTGTTCCTCATCCTCATATCTGACATAGACAGA